AAATTAAATATTCAAAAATCTATAATAAATTAGTCAATGACGTCACCATGACGTCAATCTTCGGGACACATCTTTGCTATAGGGACTATGCTTATGCAAACTTTGAATGATGTCTGACAAAGATTAATGCCAAAAGTGGCACTGAGAAAAAACGTGCACAAAGTCTATGGGGTTTTGGCGACAAAAAGAAGAAGGAAAAAAAAAAAAAATGAGAACAAAAACAAAGGCTTTTCCGCACTATGCGGAAAAGCCAACAAATATTTGTAAAATGCGAAAAAGCCCTGTGCTCTGTTTGCAAACAGACATACAGCTCTAGTTTTTCTTTTTAGCTGTTTCGGTGAAAAACAGCTCTTGTTTTCGTTAAGATTTTTGGCTTTTTTGCAATTTTGCGAAAAAGCCTTTCTTTCTGTTCTCATTTTTTTTTTTTCATCTTCATCTTCTCTCTTCTTTCTTCTTTTTGTCGCCTAAACCCCATAGACTTTGTGCACGTTTTTTCTGGCCTCCACTTTTGGCATTAATCTTTGTCATACATCATTCTAAGTTTGCATAAGCATAGTCCCTATAGCAAAGATGTGTCCCGAAGATTGACGTCATGGTGACGTCATCGACTAATTTATTATAGATTTTTGAATATTTAATTTTTCCCATAGACTTTGTACACAGAAATTTAGAAAAAATTGTCGATATTCAAAGGGCATTTTTGACTCTTTGCCAGTAATTCATTGCACCAATCTTTGTCCAAGCAAAGACCCTAATTCAAACAACATTGTGTAATGATGACGTCATGATGACGTCATCAGGTGTGTATTGATAGGCAAATAAATTGTGACACTCTTAATATTTAAAAATGCATAAGAAATCAACCGTACGCATCCGCAGCATTAACGGTGATAGTCACTTGGCTGATAGTATTCTTCGAATCATCTACCGATGACGTCATGCAATCTTCGAGCGCCCTCTAGTGACAGGTTGAAAATTTTCAAAAATGTATTTTGAATAGATGTCTGTGGCGAAGTTTGTCGGAATCGCCTAAATATTGGTGAATATGATGACCTTGTCCCCCTTAAGACGTGCGCGAAGTTTTGGGCGTATGACGTCATCAGACCGGAAGTTATAATGAAAAGAACCTTTTTCCTTTGAAAATCCCTGAAAAATCAACCATGGCAGTTTTTATATTAGTTTTTACTCAATATGTCAGTCAGCCCGCAGCGCACGTGTTGCTGAGGTCAAATCCTGTCCTCAGTGACCGTTAAACCGATTTTCGGCTAACTTTGACAGATTTTATGTTCATGCATAGTCAGGGACGTGTTATTGATAAAAAAAAAAATCATAATGCGGAAAAGCCCTATGTTCTGTTGCAAACAGACATAGATCTCTAGTTTTTTTCTTCTTCGTCTTCTTTTTGTCGCCTAAATGCCATAGACTTTGTACACATTTTTTTCTCAGTGCCACTTTTGGCATTAATCTTTGTCATACATCATTCAAAGTTACCACAGGCATAGCCCCTATAGCAAAGTTGTGTCCCAAAAAGTGATGTCATGGTGACGTCATCATGGGTCACGTGACGTCATTTTAAATGTGCATATTGTAAAGTGCTATATCTACAGAACTGTAAGTCTGATTGGGTTGAAACTTGGTATGTAGGTAGACCGGGATGTATTATAGATGAAAATTGAAGTGACGTCATGATGATGTCATCATGTGATTTTAAATTTATTTTTTGATTTTTGGACCTTTAGGCCATATCTCACAAACGCAACATGCAAAATTCAAAATTCTTTTCGTATTAGGTAACAGGTATATGCACAAACTTTTGAAAAATGTGTGACGCCATCCTGCCGTCATGAAAAATGTGATGTTTTAAAACACATGTAAGGGAAAGTTTGATCACCATGAAACTTGGTGGATAGCTAGATAATGGTACTAGTATGCAAATTCCAAAAAGACGTCAACATGACATCATCGGTTGATTTTTTAATGATTTTTTTTATATTTCCAATTTAAAGTGCATATTGAAAAGTCTAGAGAACTGTAAGTCCGATTGGGTTGAAACTTGTATGTATAGACTGGGATGAGTTAAAGGTGAAATTGAAGTGACGTCAACATGACGTTATCGTGTGATTTTATATGATTTTTTAAATTTTTGGACCTTTAAGGCATATCTCACGAACGCAGCATGCTAAATTTTTCTCGTATTATGTTTGTTAGGTAATAGGTATATGCACAAAATTTTGAAAAATGTGTGACGTCATCATAATGTCATCATGTCATGACGTCATCAAAAAAAAAAAACATGCAATTTTAAAAACACATATAAGGGAATGTTTGATCGCCATGAAACTTGGTGGATAGCTAGATAATGGTACTAGTATGCAAAATCCGAAAAGACGTCACCATGACGTCATTGGTTGATTTTTTTATGATTTTTTTTTCATATTTATAATTGCATTCTGCTTCCAAAATTTAACACTTTTTTTATTGGATTGACTTCAACCTCAGTACAAACCAAGACCACAATGCAAAAAATGAGCATTGACAAGTGTAATCAAGATGATGCCATCGTAGGGCATGTGGTGCTATCATAAAGATGCATTTTTTAAAGTCTCATATTGAGAAAACTATCAGTCCGAATGGGTCAAAATTGCGTACCAAGGTAGTCCTACACGTCAGATTAATATGGATTTATTTCTTTTGGAAGGATATATCTCACAGACGCTACATGCTAAATTTAAAAATTATTGTACCGTATTCTTGGAAACGTTGTACATGCATAGTCTGGGATGTGTTTTTGATAAAAAAAAAAATAGTGCGGAAAAGCCCTATGTTCTGTTGCAAACAGACATAGATCTCTAGTTGTGTTTGTTTTAATGTTGCTGGATATCGCAGACTTCCGGTCTGACCCGGCAATTGTTTTGAGGTGTTCTTTCAATCTGGTACCCTGTTTCTTCGATGCAGTCCGCGTCTAATGTAAATGTTGGGTCATTCCGTGTCAAATCACCCCAAAATAATTAAAATTTAAACTCCACCCCCTTCAAATCAATTCATATTTAATTTATAGGGTAATTAAGGCTGAAAAATCTGAAATTTTAAGTTATAGCGCCATCGGACAGACGCTTTTCGCGCTACTGCCCGCCATTTTTTGGCAATTTCGGTCAAAATGGGCATGGCCACCAAGTTCCAAATGACCATATTTCCATAACCTGTGGGCCAATATGTTCATCTTTGTTTCTTTTGAAAGCTTACATCATAAGAAATCCAAGTTTACCATTATTTTTCATATTGGAGTAATTCATATTGGAGTAATATTGAAGTATGAACCTTTTGACCTTTACTTTGACCTTGAATTTGACCTTGTGGATCACCCGACCTTGAGACGAACTTGGATGAAAATTATACCCCACCAAGTTTTCTACAAAATATCCAAAAATAGGGATATCACATTTTGCAACACACATGCCAACTTTGACATGGGCTAGAAACCAAACTAAAATTATTATACCCCCAATTTTTTGATATTTTGTAGAAAACATGGTGGGGTATATTTTCATCGAAGTTCGTCTCAAGGTCACGTGATGCACAAGGTCAAAGTAAAGGTCAAAGTAAAGGTCAAAAGGTCATCATACTTCAAATTACTCCGACAAGAAAAGTAAGGGTAAATTTGAATTCCTTATGATGTTACCTTTCCTAAGCAACTTAGCCTTGGTCAAGGCGCTAGTTGTTATTCATCCAGCTGAAGCCGCGGTAAACGATATCTTTGCTAGCGCTATGCATGCAGTCATATGTCTATGCATGCAGTGCATTAAAAATACAGCGCGAACAGCGACCTCACGCGGCCACTATTTTTATGCAAATCAGTTGGACCCAATCTAGTGCCTTGGTTCAATCATCCATGTGAGGTTTTGGGGGTGGTGCTCATTATGTTAATAGCCTTAGCTGACCTTAAATGTCGTTTTCTTATTGGTCGATCGTTGTGTGGAAACTTGCATAGTGAAACGTGGCACCGTACATAATCCATACACGTACACGTTGTGTGTCTCTGCCCACGGCACCAATGCACAAAAACTGTGGTTCCTGTCACGTCCGCAAAAGGCGAATTTCTGCAAATAATTTGATGACGTCCGGATTTACCAAGGTGTGATTGGACACTCCACATATTTGCACCGCCTACACTTATCTGTATTCGCATACGAGGTCGTGCGCTAGAAATCCAGCGCAAAATAAAGAAAAACATAAGCTTTTGCCGACGATTGAACCAAGGCGCTAGATTTGGTCCAACTAATTTGCATAGAAATGGTGGCCACGTGAGGTCGCTGTTCACGCTGTATTTTTAATGCACCGCATGCATAGCGCTAGCGCTAGCGAGGATATCGTTTACCGCGCTACGGCGCGGCCGGGATGAATAACCATTAGCCCCTTGACCAAGGCTATAAGCAACTAAGAACAACAAATTTGGCTCACATGTTATGGAGATGTGGTCATTTGAAAATTGGTGGCCACGCCCATATTGACCAAAATTGCCAAAAAATGGAGGGCGGTAGCACGAAAACCGTTTGTCTGATGGCGCTAAAACTTAAAATTTCAGCTTTTTCAGCCTAAATTAACCCCTCAGACTAAATATAAGCAAATTTAATGGGGGTGGGGTTTAACTCATTGGGTGATTTGACACGGAATGACCCTGTTGTAGATAACACTGCACTTGTTGGCATCAATTCGGTCTTTGGGATGTACATTTTGTACATCATTTTGGATGTTGCCGAATGGTGCGATGGGGTTTGAAAGCATGTCTGAACCTTATATTGCACACACGAAGAACTGCAATAATTGGAATTAGATCTACATGACTGCAATAAACCTGTTTTGCGTAGAATATACTTTGATAAGGAAATTAATTGATAAAAAAGTATGCTCATTTTTATGTTTTACTCAAAGGAAATATTTTTTAAAAAAAGTAAAAGGGAGTTAATTTCAGGATACACATACTGTACGTCTACTGCAACAATCATGAATTTTACTAATACAGATGATATAACTTCTGATGTCCAAGACCCTTCAACAATAGCTGATTTTGAACATGAAGATGATGAAGAGCCACCCGTTAATCCTCTACGATGGTTCGGAATCTTGGTTCCCTCAACACTGAGACAATGCCAATCAGATTTCATAAACGGTAAAACAGTTTTGATTATCTGTTTGATGTAAGCAAATGTGAGACAAATCCTCAATGGAGCATTAAAGTATGTGTCCCCGAGTGTCCCATATTTGGGTATATTTTTGGGTTTTCTCATTTGTTAAAAAGTATATTTTGGCAATTCTACTTACATGTATCCTTACTTTAATAACTTTTTCTAAAGCACATAAAGTTGCAGGCCAGTAAATCGGTCCGAAATTGCCTGCGCCGGCCAAATCACGATTTGCATGCCCTCAAAATCTTCAGTATTTGAGCATGCTGTGGGCCATGAACTTGAGGGTTTGTAAAAAATGTGGATGGAAGCCATGCACAGGACTGTGAACTTGTAGTTCCGTTCAATTTGGATGAAATTGGGTCCCTTAAAGCGCTCTATTTTGCAATGGAGTGTAGGCATCGTTTTTCAACATGGCGATGGGCTTCAGGACTATTTTCAGGGGTGATCATCTTCAAATGGAAATTTCTCCTAAAAGTCATCAGTTAACCCCCCCAAAATTGAAAAGAAAATGAAAGATGATGCAACAAGCTTTAATTTGATGTGTGTCTCGAACGCCTTGGAGAGTTGTGAGCATTTTCCCCGAATTTCTGAAGTGTGAGCATTTACCATTGGGGTCTATGGAAGTTTATTTACTGGTCTGCAACCATAAGTGACTGAATAATTTGAGGACAAAGTAACGATCCAAAATAGAGTTGTTGGCTATTCGTAACAGTTACCGACTTCCAACAGTTGGGTGAAACATTACGTAATCCTCCTTTTAATGATGGCATTCAAATGGCGCGTGATTTCTATTGTGACATTGAAGTGGTGATCATTACGGCGGATCGGCCTTTTAAACAGCAACCCCAGCAATCCTGTGGGTCACTCGGCTTGGAAAACCTTGTCAAAAAAGGGAGTATGGTTAGTTGGAGGATTAAAGTTCTTCAATCCTTTAATTATTTTCATAAGCGGTCATGCCTGTATGAGGCATTCAGCCTTCTTTTTTTCACCACTAAATTTCCGATGTGAACTGATAGCAATACACTATGTTTTAATTTAAAAAAATATAAATGTGAGTAAAATGATACCTTGTTTTCTGTTTTTGAAGTGTGAAAAGTGATCAATAAACAGCCCAGAATGATTTTTTTATATGGGTTTTGATACAAAATATGTAGGCCTACACAATATAGCACGGAAACGCACTCCAGTCAAAGTAAAAATAGATCAGTGTGTTCAAGTAAATCATTGAAAACAATCTCTTCCTTGTCTCGGTTCATAAAATGTTCCGAACAGAGCACTGGGTGAAATCTGATACAGCCCATGATGTAACAGTGGCACGCTTACCTCAAACATGACAATAGCAAATCACACAGAGCCGATACTGGGCCATATAAATGGGAGCAAAACGAGTTGTACCATGTAGTATTTGTGACTAATTGCTAATCATTGAGCTCAAAGCAAATATATATGGATGACGCGGCTATACTGGCCTTGCTTTACAAGACAGCAGACGTATCAAATTATCTCTCTCGCGCGTGTGAAGATAATTTTGGGGACATTTACAGTGCTCTGTTCATTTTATGAACTGAAACAAGGAAGAGATGTTTTTAATGATTAACTTTGAACACCTGCGTCTATTGTTTACTTTGACTGGAGTTACCCGTGCAGATTTTCTCACAATATTTGATGATTCAAGGGAAGTTATAATCATATTCAATTTAATAATCTCAATTTAAAACGGCGCCACCACCAGCAGCAGTGACACCGTGCAATGGAAGTTCTGTTCAACGTGCAATAGAACTTCCATGCATTGTGCGCTGCGCGCCACACACGCTCCATTTGTGGGACCAATAATTCAATGACGTGATCAACCATCCACCAATCAGATGACAGGGATTTATTCAGGTGTTGTATAAAAGAATCTATCTGCCAAGTTTGGTGGTTTGGTCACAATTCCGACCATATGCCACCTGACAATTAACTTCTGATTTCTAAGTTCATTTACATGTACCTTGAAAATTTGATGATAGAAATAAGATTTCTTTAATGTTCTTTTACATGTCAGGAACTGAAGATACAAATGTGAAATGTGGGATTAAAGCACCAAATTTTGTACAATGAAAACACTAAAAAATGGTACAATGTATGTGCCTCTCGCAAGTAGTTGTACCACCGTATCAATCGACACCGGGCCGAGCTCATAACCAGCACTGAGCCCTGGTTTCCACACAGCACCAGAGAGGCCATCAAGGTAGCAGACCAGTAAATAAACTTCCATAGACCCCAATGGTAAATGCTCCCACTTCAAAAATTCGGGAAAAATACTCACAACTCTCCAAGGTGTTCGAGACACACATCAAATTAAAGCTTATTTCATCATCTTTCATTTTCTTTTCAATTTTCGGGGGGTCAACTGATGACTTTGAGGAGAAATTTCCATCTGAAGATGATCACCCCTGAAAATAGTCCTGAAGCCCATCGCCATTTTGAAAAACGATGCCTACACTCCATTGCAAAGTAGAGCGCTTTTAGGGTCCAAGTTACATCAAAATTACACAGAACTGCAAGCTCCCAGTCCTGTGCACGGTTTCCACCCATATTTTTTACAAACCCTCAAGTTCATGGCCCAAAGCATGCTCAAATACCGAAGATTTTGAGGGCATGCAAATCGTGATTTGGCCGGCGCAGGCAATTTCGGACCGATTTACTGGTCTGCACCCTATAAAGAAGCGAGGTTTTGAAAAATTTCTCCAAACCACTTGTACGGCACGAGGAAGGATGGATGACTCGTATTTCATCAAAAAATTGCGAGAAAAAAATCTCTGACTGCGATTTCTGGCCTGAAAACAAGCCCTCTGTTTGCGGCTACCTTACTGTAGGGCGCCCCCAACGGGCGTTAATTGAGTTTTTGCTCCTTCCGACCCCAAATTACCCCCCCCCCCTTGTTCGCTCGAATTGCTGTGATCGGAGGACGGTCCATCGGCCCTATGCAGATTTTGGGCGCATTTGTTGCGGAACCGCCATTGGTGACCCCTTTTGAAACGCTGCTCCCCCCCCCAGGTTCCGCCCCCCTGAAAAAAAAACACTCCGCAAACATTTGACAACAAACGATGGAAGGCGCCATTTTGAAACTATAGGTAGCAGACCAGTAAATAAACTTCCATAGACCCCAATGGTAAATGCTCCCACTTCAAAAATTCGGGAAAAATACTCACAACTCTCCAAGGTGTTCGAGACACACATCAAATTAAAGCTTATTTCATCATCTTTCATTTTCTTTTCAATTTTCGGGGGGTCAACTGATGACTTTGAGGAGAAATTTCCATCTGAAGATGATCACCCCTGAAAATAGTCCTGAAGCCCATCGCCATTTTGAAAAACGATGCCTACACTCCATTGCAAAGTAGAGCGCTTTTAGGGTCCAAGTTACATCAAAATTACACAGAACTGCAAGCTCCCAGTCCTGTGCACGGTTTCCACCCATATTTTTTACAAACCCTCAAGTTCATGGCCCAAAGCATGCTCAAATACCGAAGATTTTGAGGGCATGCAAATCGTGATTTGGCCGGCGCAGGCAATTTCGGACCGATTTACTGGTCTGCACCCTATAAAGAAGCGAGGTTTTGAAAAATTTCTCCAAACCACTTGTACGGCACGAGGAAGGATGGATGACTCGTATTTCATCAAAAAATTGCGAGAAAAAAATCTCTGACTGCGATTTCTGGCCTGAAAACAAGCCCTCTGTTTGCGGCTACCTTACTGTAGGGCGCCCCCAACGGGCGTTAATTGAGTTTTTGCTCCTTCCGACCCCAAATTACCCCCCCCCCCCCTTGTTCGCTCGAATTGCTGTGATCGGAGGACGGTCCATCGGCCCTATGCAGATTTTGGGCGCATTTGTTGCGGAACCGCCATTGGTGACCCCTTTTGAAACGCTGCTCCCCCCCCCCCAGGTTCCGCCCCCCTGAAAAAAAAACACTCCGCAAACATTTGACAACAAACGATGGAAGGCGCCATTTTGAAACTATAGGTAGCAGACCAGTAAATAAACTTCCATAGACCCCAATGGTAAATGCTCCCACTTCAAAAATTCGGGAAAAATACTCACAACTCTCCAAGGTGTTCGAGACACACATCAAATTAAAGCTTATTTCATCATCTTTCATTTTCTTTTCAATTTTCGGGGGGTCAACTGATGACTTTGAGGAGAAATTTCCATCTGAAGATGATCACCCCTGAAAATAGTCCTGAAGCCCATCGCCATTTTGAAAAACGATGCCTACACTCCATTGCAAAGTAGAGCGCTTTTAGGGTCCAAGTTACATCAAAATTACACAGAACTGCAAGCTCCCAGTCCTGTGCACGGTTTCCACCAATATTTTTTACAAACCCTCAAGTTCATGGCCCACAGCATGCTCAAATACCGAAGATTTTGAGGGCATGCAAATCGTGATTTGGCCGGCGCAGGCAATTTCGGACCGATTTACTGGTCTGCACCCTATCAAACTCTTCAAACAAGACATGGTACCCCAGGTTTTCAGTTCTTCCATTAGCGAAATCTTGCACCCCATCCTCTCTAGGCAGTCCAATTAGTCTCCTATACCCAATGACAACTTGGTTCCCCCATCCTAATCAGCCTGTGGGTCTCCTATACCCTTGGCAACCTCCCTCCTCACTCCTTTCCACCTCTGATCATTTCACATCCCCTGCCCCAGCCTGGTTTCCACAATTGCATCCCTCACACCTTCACGTTTCACCGCTTCTAGTTCTATTGCATAACCACCCTTCACTGTTGGAATCCCTCAGTCTCCTGATGATGGGCAGAGCATACCATCCGAAATGTTCAGTTTCCCCGGTTCTTGTCAGTGCCTCACAAACTCACAAAAGAGATTTGTTAAATGGTGCAACCATAAACTTTATATGTAAAACTGTAAGTAGCCAGTATTTTCAGTCCCTGACATGTTAAAGCTGGAGTCCATCATTTGCAGCTATCCAAAAAGTGACTGGCGTAATTATTGTTGAAAAACATACTTGGTTGAAAGATAGTAAGAAGACTAAACTCCCTGTGAAATTTTTCTCTCTGGCAAGCTGTCATTTTGAAGAAATCAACGAAAGAAGGCCTTTCCAACGGTGCGTCTCAAGAAGCACCATTGGAAATTTCCATTAGTAGTTCGTTTTTTTTATTCGGCGAAGCGCGCGCAAGCGTTGACACAACGCACACGCAGTTGCTATAATTCGTTGGATCAGTGCGCGACATTGCGTAGCTGCAATCGGCTCAGTGAGAACGTGTCTCGGACACTGAATTCAGGCCCAATTCAAAACATGATTCAGCAACTTTTGATTTGAAATCGAGATTCTAGAATGTTGTTGTTCTCAAAATGAACAGCTGAAGCTGAGCTGAAACTTCATCAGGCTAATTGTTCATGACCCTTGTTTAGATTTAGAGCACTTTTGTTGCTTCAAACGAACAAAATGCACAAATTACAAATGATGGACTATATCTTTAAAGAATGTGCCACTGTGGGTCAGGCAGTCAAAAAATGACCAATTAGACTACGACTGTTGGTCAGGTGACTTTACAACTGGCCTGATCTGTTATAGCAGTCCTACTTGATGACATGCCATGTGAAAATGTATACAAATCAGTGGTTCCCAAGGATCAGGGTATGGTTTTGTCACTGTAAAAGTGGCTGCATATACACTTTTCTGTAAAATAATTTCTGCTTTGCAGATCAGACACCAAGTACCTTGACCTGCTAATATTTTCCCCCTATATCCAAAACCAAAATCAAACTTGAAAATGCATGTTGGCCTACATATCCTCATTCAGAAAGTCAACAAAACCAACAGGGACAAGTGGTGTGTTCTGAAGTAGGAATTGCATGTTAGTTTGATCTGACAAAAGTAAGATTACCCTAGCTAATAAACACTCTCAGCGGCATTGTACTTATACTATACAGGGTGGTTAAAAAAAAAAACACCCACTTTTGACAGCGATTTCCACCTACTTAATGAACTTATTTTAATTATTTGTTCACATAGTAGTAAAGTATAGGCTTTTAATCATGCAGGGTGAAAAAAGCTTAGTAAAAGTCGCAAAAATACTGATATTATGCTAATTTGAATACAAGTCACCAAAATCAGTCTTGTCCACGGGTTATTTTATGTAAATTTAACGTTTTCGTAGTTCATAAAACTTAAAAAACCTTCTTACCAAAAAATATTTTGCCCTGGTAACTTTTATTGAAGCTGTCCAATTATTCATGTCAGTGTTAAGATCATCTCCTCAATGAGCTGTCGACTTAAGTTCATTGTTGCATAACATTACACATAACAATCAAATGTCATGCCCTTTCAAATGAAGCTCCAATGGCTGAGCTCAGTCAAGCGAAGGCAATGTATACCTCCATGGACAAACAGGTTTCGCACATGAAATGTTCAAATTAGCATAGCTCATCGACAAAATAAGCAAATGCAATGATTTTTTCATCACAATTGCTTAAAAGCCAGTACTTTAATAGCTACTAATCAACAGTTAAAAATGATTTTTAGAAATAGGTGAAAATTGCTGTCAAGAGTAGGTGGCCTTTTTTTCTTAACCACCCTGTATGTGGCATGCATGTCTGTCCGTACATGTTTATGTCCGTGTTTACTTAGATTTATCAAAACTTCCAATGACCGATTCAAAAACTTTTGTCAGTTACCATTGACAAACTTTATCCAAGAAAAGTTATCCTTGGGTTAGAGTATAATTAGTATTAAAGTTTGTAAATATTGATATTTCCCAACAGCCATTCAAGAATGTGCACATCTTGCAAGTCTGGAGAAGCAACTTCCTGTTATTAGAGACCAGTACATCAGTTTACAGAAGAAAATGAAACAAGAGGTTTTATCTTGTGACATTAATGAAATGGTGAGCAACTAGGTTTTTCGGTTGCTTGGATTTGTCAAGCTGCTTTTTTTCCCCCACAAGGGCATATTTGAAGAGATTCTTGGCACTGATCCGTTCTATTATTTACATAAACCGAAGATAAGGCCCAATGAAAAAGCAAGAGGACAAAATTAGATGAGACGATTATGAACAAGTTTACCAAAAGGACAGTCTTCTTTATTTCTTTCTTTTTTTTACTTCAAGCGAATTTGAATCCTTGATCCTGATTGGTCAATCTGTGGCAACAACATTGTCGCACATTGTATTGTGCTATTCCTACTGCATGCACACTTGAATAGGATAATTGATGCAAGTTATGTCCAGTGTACAGGTTCCATTTTAACTATGCATTCAAGTTTGCTTGAAGATAAAATTGTTACCCCACTTGCACTCGTGTTCCACGGAAACTGTTGTGTGTCTGTGTTCCTTAGGCCTTGGGCCTTGCGGCACATTGGACACAGACACACTACATTCCTCTGTGTTCCACTCATGCGTGTGGGATAACTAATAGTGTAGGTTTTCAAAGGCAGACCAATGACACAATTTTAATGTTAAGAGTCCAAATCTAAATCTCTTACATTTGCTCTTTGATCCCCCCCCCCCACCATTTGGCAGACTTCATTCAAGTGTAGATCCAAAATCACAAGGTTGGAGCACCAACCTTTGGATTGAACTATATCCCAGGATAAAGATTTTGCGAGAATTATGTTATCAACATGGGTTCACTTTTTTGTAACGACCATTGAAATGGGTTTTTCTTTTTTGTTATTGCCTTTTTTGCTTTGGGAATGCCTTTTAAATGATGGTCTTTGTTTTTTTATGGTAAAACAATCAAAAACAGAAAAGTAACATCAGGTCAAGAGAATTTACTTTAGTCATAGTTCTATCTTAAACGTAATCCTATGCCCACATATATTTTTTGTCTCAATAGTCTTTATACACATCTTGAGTTTTGGGATAAAATAGTTGGGATAAAAAGGCAATTGTGGCATAAACAAAAATACATGCTAGAGTAATGGTCAGACCTGGGCTGGACTCTCAGCTAGTAGTCTGGGAGCCCAGCAAGGTTAATAATGATAACTTTGAAGACAAAACAAATTCATATCTTAATTAAATTAAGTGAAGTGAAAAGGATTACGTGCTGAAATAGGTTATTCCACATAAGAGCAATATACTTTGTATACAATTTACAATATTTGATCAAACTCCAATCTAGAAGTCTGCAATTAAGTGCAAATGCTAAATTTAGAAGGTCACCAAGGATTTTTAACACCAATAATTAGAATGTCAAGTACAACCTTAGTTGAGCTATTTGTGGATTAAACAGTTTCCAGACCAATGCCTGATGTTAAATACTAGGTAGATCAAAAAAAAAATGAATGGGGAATTTGTTTTAATGCACAATAAAGAAAGTTTACAAGTTACAATATGTGTTACTTATCATTATTTCTTATCAAAATTTATTGGAAAGGAAAATTACCAATAATTTTTTTTCTTCAAAATTAACAGGACACATATTTGTCCTATCATGTAATCTCCAAGATGTAGTAGTCCACCAACCAGTTATGTAGTGCTTGATTCTCAGCCTTGGCCCGAAGGCTTGATTTTAGGGCCTTGAGGGCAAAAGCCTTGGCCTTGTGGATAAATGTCTTGCCATTTTTTAGTCAAGGCTAAAAAAACTACAATAATAAATTGGAAAGAAATTTTACCAAACCCCAATGCAAATTGTATCTTTGATGAAATACGAGTTTATATGACTTGTGGAAAAATAATATAGCACGGTGACATTAATAATAATAATAATAATAACGGAAATTTATACCGCGCCATTATCCGCCATAAATGACGCTCATGGCGCAAACAAAAATTATATCAAATCAGAAATAACAAAACAATTAAATTTAACTAAACAAGAATATTCTGAGTGGTCTGAAACAAATAGGTCTTTAGGGCAACTTTAAATTCAGAAAGCGATGAGATATTGCGAATGGCGAGGGGTAGTTTGTTCCAAAGATGAGGACCTGCATGAGAAAATGATCGATCACCCCAAGATTTGTGAGTGTGAGGGACAACCAGCAAAGAAGCATCAGAAGATCTCAATCGCCTGGATGGGTTGTTTGGAGTTAATAGGTCTATGTTGTATTCAGGAGCTGAATCATGAAGGCAATGAAAAACAAGCAGTAACAGTTTGTACTTAATCCGGTCAGCAACAGGGAGCCAATGCAGAGACTGCAAAATCGGGGTGATATGGGTTCTAGAGGGTGTCAGGGTCACAATTCGAGCGGCAGAATTTTGGAGTCTTTGTAGGCGAGCAAGTTGGTTACGGGGTAGCTGATACAACAGGGAATTACAAAAATCCAACCTAGATGAAATGAGGGCGTGAACAAGTTTCTCTGTTGCTGAGTGGGTTAGATACTTCCGAATTAAACCCAAGTTACGAAGTTGAAATCTGACAGATTTACATGTGTTAGAAACATGATGAGACATTGACATAAGTGAGTCAAAGGTGACTCCCAGATTTCGACAGGTCGCCGACAACTTAACAGGTGAATTTTGGATGTTGATACCATGGACATTGATCTTAGCAAGTTGTGACTTTGACCCAAACATAATAAGTTCAGATTTATCAGTGTTGAGTTTGAGAGAGTTAGAACTCATCCATACACTGACATCATTGATGCATGATTCAAGTTTCTGGAGAGTCAGCAAGGCGTCATCTTGATTTGGTGCAAATGACACAAAGAGTTGAACATCATCAGCATAGCAGTGGTAACTGATATTATGAGATTCCAAGACATGTTTCAGACCACTGAGATAGATGGTAAACAACAATGGCCCGCCGACAGATCCCTGGGGAACTCCATGTTTCAGTTCAACTATATCGGATCTGGCGTTACCAATACATACCAGCTGATGACGATCACCCAAGTATGACTTGAACCAAGCAAGAGCACGATCACAAATACCAAAAGATGACATAATGTTTGCAAGTATGTCGTGGTTGACCGTATCAAACGCTGCGGACAAGTCCAGTAGAACGACTGCTGTAAGTCTGCCGACATCCATTTCTGACAAAATGTGGTTAGATAAATTAACTAACAGGGTCTCGACGCTATGATTGGCACGGTATGCAGATTGACGATTATCATACAAATTGATAGATTGTAAATAATCAGTCAGTCTAGAGAAGACAACCCGCTCTAGGACCTTAGACAAGTACGGTAAGTTTGACACGGGGCGGTAGTTCTGAAGCGACTCTGGATCAAGTCCTGGCCTCTTCAGCAATGGACGAACATGGGCGATCTTTAATGCTGCTGGAATATCCCCATCCTTGAGACTCAAGTTGACAATCTTTGCGATCATTGATGAGAAAGCTGGTGCGCAGTCTTTGAGTAGTTTTGTAGGAACAGGATCAAGTTCACATGATTTGACGGGACTTTTACGGATGAGTGTTTCGATTTCTTTAGGTGTTGTAGGCTCAATTGAATTCATGACTGCAGATGTCTGAACTGGTAGTGGAGTAGATGAATCCGGGGTGAAACCAGCGCATATGATATGGTGTCGATCTTGCTAATGAAGAATTGACTGAAAAACTGTGCCAGTGTTTTATCACAGCCATGGGAGGGAAGAGCGGTTGTCTGCTTTCGATTCAGGAGTTTATTGGTGACACTGAAGAGTCGTTGATTTCCAAAAAATCATTCAACTTTGATGACCCACCCCCATCCCCCTAAAAACCTTGCCTTCAAGTTGTAAACACGAGCAAATTTGATTCAGATTCAGATTTAGTCAGACTTATTCAGATTCATGAAACAGACAATCTACTAATATATGACACTGAGGATTCCTTTTGCAAAAAAAACCAATGTTATGCCTCAAGCTTCGCTGTAACTGGTACAATAATATGGAAAATTTGCATGTACAGTTCAAAACCGTGACTTCTCTAACCTCATTTAAATCTGAACTATGTAAAACGTTCAGTCAGTAATATTTCTGCAAATAATTAGATTATTGTGTGAGTATTTTTTCGCTGTCTTTTCTGATTATAAAAATCCAAGTATGTAGCTTATCTATGGATTTAACAAACTTGGTTGCCAAAATAATAAGAAGCCGGATGGGAATTTCCCCGTGTTTTCTCTCAAAAGTTTTTTTTTGCTAGTTTTTCGCCCCTCCTGTAATCAGTGAATATAATTATAGCAATATATAAAGTTCTTGCTGCTACAAGATAGATCCAAATTCTTTGTGTACACCGCACTCACACATGGTGTTTGTTGGTTTGGAAAAGCCTCACTTCTTCATGGTGCTTTTGGTGCAAGCCCCTCCAGAGCGGAGGCGATTTAAGCACCTTCAGGTCTTCCATCCTGCAATGGATCCTGTAGGTAAGGCTTCTGCAGGCTTGATGGGCTTCTCAGGTGTTGGTGAGACGACACAAGCCTTTCCTGCCATTGTTGCATCCTCGATGGTTCGATTGGCTGGTCCAGAGTTGAATGCAAGAAGCTATTTCTTGATTTAAGTTGGCAAAGTGCTGGTTGGTGATCATACAGCATGTAGCTTGGATTCCAGACCTGTCAGAAGCGCCCTGCTCTAATGGCCTCCATCCCGATATCGGGGGGGGGGGGGGGGATGCTGGCCAGCAAGTAGAGTGAGTTGATGTAAGTGAGCTTGAGGCAGCCGGTGGTGATGTGGCAGCTTTCAACGAGGGCAGGATCAAGGCCGCTTTGTGTGTGTTGATATCGTCCCCAGACAGGACAGGCATACTCGGCAGCTGAGTTGGAAAGGGCCAAGGCAGTCCATATCAGCACTTGTGGTGATGCTGCCCACTGTGATGATGTCTATTTTCGGAGGATTTTGGTGTGGGTTGACCCTTTGGCTTTGGCCTTTAGGGCTCCTTGAAAGTCAGACTGTGGTCGAGTGTCACACCAGGGTAGACGGGCTACTGGCAGTATTTGAGACTCTAGCTGACCCAGGAGGCACTGGGTCTTAATAGCAGGGTTTGCCTTCAGGTGGTTCATAGTGTAGCACTGCTGTAACATGGTCAATGTCTTCTCTATTGCGGTAAAGCATGTGTGTTGATATGCTATACACAGGTCGTCCGCATGAAGCGCTTTGCTGTTGGTAGTTTGTATAGATGCTGTACAGGAGAGGTGCAAGCACACTCCCTTGGGGGAGACCGTTCCATTAAAGACGTACTCTACTCTTCTTGCCATTGAATTCTACAAAGAAACAAGGGTTCTTCAGTAGAACACCAATAAACTGGGTAAGGGTTACGTCTGCCATCATATCCAGGATCTTCTGAAGGAGTCGGCAATGGTTAACAGTGTCATAAGCAGCTGTAAGATCAACAAAGACAGTGCTGGTGATCTTTTTTTTCTGGTGGAAGCTGTCCTCAGTGTACTGAGTGAGGTTTAGAAGATGTCCAGTTGAAGATTTTTTGGGACGGAAGCCTGCCTGCATGCTCCTCTATCAGTTGTTCCTCAATGAAGGGGGCAAGACGGTTGAGGAGGAGACGTTCCAGCAACTAAAATGAGTGGCTTAGAAGGGATTTGGGACGATAACTTTTGGCCTGCAGTGTGTCTTTCCCCGGTTTTAGGGGGCGATGACCTTCAACTTTTGTAAAAGTAATTTTTGGGGTCATGTCAGGAGCGTCCGTATTCTTCTTTATACACGCGGCCCTGGATAGGCTATATTAGCTGAACCAATCCTGACACCAACACAAGCATCTATTAACATCGTAGCAACCATGCCAAGGAGACGTGACACTAGATGTTGCTACCAACGCAGGACCTTTCTAGAGCCAGCGTTGACAGTGGTATCAGCAAACGTCAAGGGCTTTTCAACTGCTAAACAACATGATCTAGCAGAGCTGTGTAGCAATCTTCAATGTGATGTCCTCTGCTTGCAAGAGACTCACAGAGGAAGCGATAACCCACACCCAGTCATACCAGGCATGGTCCTTGCCATCAAACGACCACATCGGCAATATGGCAGTGCTATCTTCACTCAAGCAGGCTCTATAGTAAAAGCTACTACCAAATCAGATGCCAATGACATCGAAGTATTGTCAGTCGAGTTGAGTAGTGTTGTAGTGACATCGGTCTACAAACCTCCATCAGTAGACTTCAACTTCCCTCAACCAGTTCCCTTTGCACACAAACCACAGATTATCATTGGTGATTTCAATAGTCACAGCACCCAGTAGGGCTACAAGGATACCAACAGAGATGCCCGCTGGAGACAGGGGTATAATCCTGATTTAGCAGTTGTGAGTGACACCATTAGTGATCTTTGCAAGAAAATTGTGCTGAACCCAGTTTCACAAAGCCAGCATCGTCCCATTGGTATCCAAGTTAAGGCGGCCATTACACCAAACAAAGTGCCTTTTAAGAGACGATTTAACTACAAGAAGGCAGACTGGAAGGGTTTCACA